AATATTTTTCACTTTAATTTTTACATTAATATGAAAATATTTAAATTTAATATATTTTATATTTAAGTTGAATATATTTCATATTTAAATTTATTATATTTCATATTTAAATTTAATATGTTTCATATTTAAATTTAATATTTAAATCTAATATTTTTCATATTTAATTTAAAAATATTTTATGCCTAAATTTAATATGTTTCATATTTATATTGAGTATATTTCATTTTTAAACTTATCGATTATTATTTTGCCTACGTGGACTACATTTCAAGTCCTCATGGTGTGAAATTCACCTAGTTAAAGTTTGCAACTAGAAATAATCGCAACATGAGTAGAACTGCATTTTTTTGTGATTATGACCCTTCGCAAAGATAATTTAAACTGTGTATTCAAGGCTGCAGCAGCGTGAACCAGTTAAAAATTCGAGGGACATAAAAAAAATAACATAAACATATTTAAAATAAATACAACAAATATTTAATTTCATTTAATATGGAATATTTAAAATAAAAAGTTTCCATTTGATTTTAAAACAAAAATTTTAAAATCAAGTCGTAATAATATTCAATTTAAATATGAAACATATTAAACTAAAATTTTTAATATATTATATTTATTTGAAAGTGTTTTGTATTAAGATTAAATATGACCGTATTAAAAAAGCCATTTTAATACAATTATATTTGAATCAAAGTAAATTCTATTTAATTTTACTATGTTTGTATTTAAAAATCGCATTTTAAATTCAAATATGATTGTAGTTTTTTTTACTATGCCTTTTTTCTATCAGTGTACTATTTATATTTATGTTTATATGTACCCTGCCACGCTTCGCTGTTGCATATCATGGTTGCACGCATAAGAAATAAGGAACACAACAAAGCATAAGTATTGAATACTTTTCATTTTGTAATAGTTCTCCATTCTGCGTGTTAATATGAAGGCTATCTGGTTTACCGACACGGGAACAGGCAACATACAATTGTCCGAGTCTGTACGTGGATATGCAATGACCGCACCATCAAGTAGCCCAAGCTGAAGCCTGTTACGCGCGGAACCCAGAAACGCAGCCTCTTGCCCAACCGACCGAGGGGCGCTGCAGCATGACGCGCGACGCGTGTGACCGAACCGATCGCCAGCATGCAGGAAAGGTAGGTGTTAGACTAAAATTCGAGGAATATTAGAGCTAAGCACAAATCAACGAGCTAAACATACTAAGATAGCTAAGAAATAGTACTAATTACGGCAAAGGTATGTTAGTATAAGTGATTTAAGAAGAGGAAAGGAATTAGTAGTGGATAATATTTGGTAGAGGGAATTGAAGTCCGAGCATAGGACCCTAAATGGTTCGTGCAAGGAATAATTTGATCTATAAAGTGGAAGGAACAAATAATAAAGTTTCTAGTAGATCTAATAAGAATCGTAAAGTTTATGCGGCTCAACAAGTCAGGGCTATCTTCATGACCCTTGATCAGGTTGTGCATAAATGTCAAATTCCATTCCAATTTTCCATCGTCAAATTCCATTGACCACCTCTTTATAAACCCAAGCACGCCCATGGATATACCTCTATAATTTTTTGCATCAGACTTGCTGCCTTTCCTTCCAGATTGGGGGAAAGCATGAAGAAGTAATGGATATGGTGAATTGTTTAAGCAGGCATATATAGAGAGCATCGGCACAGTATCTGAGTACACAGTCGGGAACTCCGTCAGGACCTGGTGAAAACACCGGCTTAACTAGTCGAAGATCATGAAGCAGTGAGCTTTCATTTAATAAGTGGATGAAAATGCCGATCGACCTTGGTAAAGTGTTTGGATACGGCTGACCAGAGTAGCTTTCATGAGAATATGTTGTTTGGAAAAATGTTGCAAAAAGAACGTCAATTGCCTGATTATTGTTTGCTGACATATTGAGAAATGATAGCGAGGATGGATGTGCAGAAGAGGTGGAAAACATTGATGTTTGGAGACATCGATGTTTTCGATGTCAAGATACAAAAAATATCAAAAATACATGGTAAACTGCAAAGATATGATTAAAATTATACAAAATAACAGTTTTATATCATTTGAGATCAAAAGTTAAAAAAAGTATATTTTCCAGATTATATCTTAAAATAAGTCTTGATTCTTGTTGAGAAATAATAATTGGTCCACCACTTCCGGCTTAAGGCGGCTACGACGATCGGAAATAATTTGCCCACCCTTGCTGAACATCCTCTCTGACTCGTAGGATGGGCATAGCGACATATCTGAGGGCGACAGGGCCTGGCAGGCACTAACGACATATCTCCTCGCGGATTTTGGCATCATATCTCCGCCCAGAATTTAGCGACATATCTCCTGCTGAAAAATGTATGACATATCTCCTGCTGAAAAATGTATGGCAGGAGATATGCCGCCCGGAGATATGTCGTTACTCCGTAGGATGTTGCCGGGACGCACAAATATTTTTGGGCTACAGCTTTAAATGGCATCAAGTCGTCTGTATTTATCTAAAAATGTAACCATTTGAGCTTGATCTTCTTCTCTCGTAAGGTTTTCTTTCATAGAGACGACAAAAACATAAAATCAAAACATCGATGTTTCGCCAAAAAACATCGATGCTTATAAAAATTTTAAAAAATATCGATGCATCGATATAGGTAATTTTTATAGCATTGAACGCCAAGAACGGAAAAATATTATAAACAATATTAGTCCAGTGAACCTAAAAAATTTGGAGTACTGAAGAAGGTCACCATCATTAAATATATAAGATGTTATATTATTATAATGGTTGGTCACGCAATAAGGAGAACAAAACAACGAATGCTACTGCCTACACTATTGCTTGGTTTGATAGAAATTGCGGTATCCTTGTGCTCCTTGCATTTCGTTAATAGTCCGGGACAGTTTGTTGACTGCCATAAATACAAACGCACTCATAGAAAACTTGTGCATTTGAGTCTGCTTCAATTTTTGTTGTCCATATGTTTGCCTTTTGAATAAACTTCAAAAACTTTATTCAGTTTCCGTTATTTATTCCGTCTTGGAGATCAAAGTATAAATATTTGGGAAAATGCCGAGGAATAGAGAAATGTGCCCGATTTGCTTGAACGGGATGCGGTTTAAAGTGATAACGTCTTGCAAACATTCGTTTTGCAGAGCCTGCTTACGCAAAGCCATCAAATACAGCTCGAACAATGGTTGCCCGCTGCTGACTGTAATAGCTTATTACACTGTAAGTAAAGAGTTTTATAGAGAAGCTACACGCAGATCCTCTCCATTCTAACGAACGCTCTTCTCATATCAGCGCAAATAAAGGGTCTTCCATGTTGCATTCTCACACTAAGTACATACATATAGACACACTTAGACCAATTAGTAACAAGAACACTTGGCAAGCGACTCGCAACAAATTCGCAACAAATATAATCAGACTCACACTAAGTTCACACTACAATCCCGCACTTCTGCGGCTCCTTTGGTTGACAGCCGCACCCGACCCACGGACTTGCGTCACGAGGCTCCTCGTGGATTTTCGACTCGCCAACGAAGAGAAGTGCTCAAGGAACAGGAAGCAAGCAATAAAATATCTTTAACATTTCAACAGTTGTCCTGTTTATCCATTAAATGAAAACATTGTTAATAAAAAGGGCATTTTCTCTGCATTTTCTCTACAGATTTCATTCACAGTACTTAGACGTACACTATTTTACTCAGAGAATCGTTCTTTTATCAAAGATATAACCGACACAGTAAATGGATCTACCATTGAACTACAAAAATATTAATTGGAGTTCCAGGACCTCTTGGCATTGTGACTTTGACTGAAATATCTTAAGATCGGTTGATAAAGCTTTTTTAGTACAAGCCCACCCTAGCCTTATACGATCGCTTTTTACATAGTACGGTTGGAAATACATATGTATATATTCCACATGTTATTTATTATTTCCACTTCATTCCACTTTATCTATTTATTTATTTATTTAATGTTTATCCTAATGCTATAAGTATAAACTTATTTGTATTGCGCTAGTCACTCGTGAGTATATATAGTTCATTTTGGATGTTATCTACTTAAATCTAATACTTATATATTCACATTTTGACAAGAGTTAAGTACTTAAATCTAATACTTACACATTAAAATTTTGTTTTGATTTAATTTTTTTTTATTTTTATACCCGTACTCAAAGAGAGTTAAGGGGTATATTGTATTTGTGGTAAAAGTGGATGTGGGCAACTCAGAGAAGGAAACGTTTTCGACCCCATAAAGTATATATATTCTTTATCTTTAGCCGAGTCGTTATAGCCATGTCCGTCCGTCCGTCCGTCTTGATGAGCTAGAGCAACCAAATTTTTTGTACAGACTCATGTGATATCACACTGCCTCAAGTGTATTTCAATATTTCGCCCCGCGAGAGCGAGAACTATAGAAGTTAAATTAAATATATTCTGTCAGTAAATGTGAGTACATAAGTTCAATTATAAATATAGCTGTAATTACTCCTAAATGTTTCTATGTATTCTGAATAATTAAATGTTAATAACTATTACAACTGTTGTGACTAGCGCCCTAATTTATGGAAAATACAATACAAAAAATTGCTCTAAGACATCCGTTTCAATCTGTTTGAACAGTTGCTCCATGGAGGCGCCTACGAGTAGGCAGAGGGTGTAGTCCATTTCCGATTCCCCCCACTAATTTACTTAAAATGATGAGGCTGGCTTTGCAAAAAGCCGACTATAAAGTAGCAGCGATGGGCGCGATGTAGCATCGGGTGGGTTAAGGTTAGGGTTAGGGTTTGGGTTAGACATTTTAAACTTAAAGAATTTGTTTTAATATTTATTTTAGGTTTTTGGGTAAACTGACAATATTGCCTAGTGATGTCTGGAATGCAACACACAAAGGTTTCTTGGGAGTCACATAAATTGAAAAATTATATTTGATCATTTGCTTTTGTATTCAACAGTCAAACCCAGGTCCTTAGAAACAAACAAAAAATTATTATTGCGATAGAGAGCAAACAAGTAACAACTAGAAACTAAAAACTCACACTCGTCGAAAAATAAATTTAAATTTAACAAATTTTTCTAAAAGTTTAATATAGAATGGAAACCCCAAAATCAAACGTCTATGAATCGGTGCTACCGCATATCATTGCGATATTGAATTGCGAGCCACGTCAGAGTGAGTAACCTAAGGGCCAAGTGTGTGGGTGCGAATCACTAATTGATTTCTCCTCTTGCTCGCAGGCACCACTGTGGACGATTTATGCCACAAATTGAGGTCACTGCCCAGACGGATGATTTTGTGATGCAGCACATCAGTGCCTTTGAGACCCTTAAGACCGCTGTGAACTATGGCATAGCGTTGGGCACTGACATGGCCTACTGGCCCACTCAAATGGCAAGGTCCGCCTTGTCAGCAAGCCGCCCATACGCAGCCTTTCGAGCGAGCAGCCTCAACGCGGCGTAGAGGGCGAATACACTGATCTTCGCCGCAGCGTCGAGAAGGTGGAGCAGCCGCTGTTGAAGGAAGTCGACGAGGAGCTCTTGTTCAGCGACGAGAATGGCCGCCAGCCTTACAGCGTCGATGAGCCCCTCATCCCTGGCATGGGTACTACGCTCGTCAAAGAAGTTAGGGACAGGAAAGGTGGACACTCGATTAACTCACATACCATTGACGGACCAGCTGACGGAACCACTAACGGGCAAACTCAGCAGGAGAACTCCAATGGTGAAACCCAAACGACACAGTGGGGGCTGACTTAGCTCCAAATTAAATTTTGTTCGCTATATTCGATATAATTTACAATCAAAGCATTAATAATGCTACACTCTTTGGCATTTGCCACAAATACCTGTCACACCTTTTTGCTCTCTGATCTTCTGAGCATTGTTTAATAAAGGATTTGATCTGTACTTGCCAGAGTTTAATGCATTTGAATACGAGCATTGTCTTTGGTGTGAGACCTCGGAAAGGGCTCACATTTGGTGGCTGATTCGCTCTGATCCACTCGACTAAGCAGATAAGCAGAAGAAGGCTGGAAGTGGGCCAGCGGGTGAGAAGAGGCTAATAGGAGCCGCGGAAATACTTCGAATATATCCTTTTCAGAATTGGCTTGCCCTCGTAGGAAATATGCAAAATGTCATTAAACAGGGCGAAGAGATCCAGGGATATGCCCACAATCATTCCAAATCTCACTGCTTCCTTGAGGTCACTGAACGAGTGAATGTGGCGCAACATTTCTAAATAAATCAGTCGGAAAAACATATGGAATACCTAGATCGCTATACATAACGAAAGACTTTTTACCACTGAAAATCAAACAAACAATTGCAACAATGTACCTCATACCCGTACTTCTTTATGGTATCGAAGTCTTTAGTGACTGTAACTCCGCCAGCCAACGAAAGCTGAAAGTTGCTTTTAATAATATCACGGGATATATTAATAATAAACATAGAACTGACCGTATTTCTGACGTAATGATTAAGATACTCGATATTCCACCTAAATCCTGGAAAAACCATAGGGTCTTAACATAATTGCAGAAAATTGTATCCACCAAAGAACCTTGGTACCTATTTGAAAGACTTTGGTTTAGCACGTCAAGAAAGATCAGAAACATTATGACATTTAAATACAAGTGCTCCTGCACAATGCGGAAATTCTTTGTATATGCTGTTCGCATTTGGAACCCGCTCCCCACGGCCTTAAGGCCATAAGTGGCTCGAAGCAATTCAAAATCGCAATGGAGGAACATCTGCGCACTGCCTAACTCTAATGATTTAAACTTTTTATACCTGTACTCAAAAAGAGTTAAGAAGAGGTATATTAGATTTGTGGTAAAAGTGGATGTGTGCAACGCAGAGAAGGAAACGTTTCCGACTCCATAAAGTATATACATTCTGGATCAGCATCAATAGCCGAATTGATATAGCCATGTCCGTCCGTCTGTCCGTCCCTCCGTCCGTCCGTCTTGATGAGCGCCTAGATCTCTTTCGCTACCACACCGAATATCTGTGGCATACACAATATTTGAGATCATTTGAGATCAAAAGTTCAAAAAAGTATATTTTCCAGATTATATCTTAAAATAAGTCTTGATTCTTGTTGAGAAATAATAATTGGTCCACCACTTCCGGCTTAAGGCGGCTACGACGATCGGAAATAATTTGCCCACCCTTGCTGAACATCCTCTCTGACTCGTAGGATGGGCATAGCGACATATCTGAGGGCGACAGGGCCTGGCAGGCACTAACGACATATCTCCTCGCGGAGATTTTGGCACCATATCTCCGCACAGAATTTAGCGACATATCCCTGCTGAAAATGTAAGACATATCTCCTGCTGAAAAATGTATGGCAGGAGATATGCCGCCCGGAGATATGTCGTTACTCCGTAGGATGTTGCCGGGACGCACAAATATTTTTGGGCTACAGCTTTAAATGGCATCAAGTCGTCTGTATTTATCTAAAAATGTAACCATTTGAGCTTGATCTTCTTCTCTCGTAAGGTTTTTCTTTCATAGAGACGACAAAAACATAAAATCAAAACATCGATGTTTCGCCAAAAAACATCGATGCTTATAAAAATTTTAAAAACATCGATGCATCGATATAGGTAATTTTTATAGCATTGAACGCCAAGAACGGAAAATATTATAAACAATATTAGTCCAGTGAACCTAAAAAATTTGGAGTACTGAAGAAGGTCACCATCATTAATATATAGATGTTATATATTATATGTTGTCACGCTGCCACGTGCTACTGCCTACACTATTGCTGGTTTGATAGAATTCGGGATCCTTGTGCTCCTTGCATTTCGTTAATAGTCGAGGGACAGTTTGTTGACTGCCATAAATACAAACGCACTCATAGAAAACTTGTGCATTTGAGTCTGCTTCAATTTTTGTTGTCCATATGTTTGCCTTTTGAATAAACTTCAAAAACTTTATTCAGTTTCCGTTATTTATTCCGTCTTGGATATCAAAGTATAAATATTTGGGAAAATGCCGAGGAATAGAGAAATGTGCCCGATTTGCTTGAACGGGATGCGGTTTAAAGTGATAACGTCTTGCAAACATTCGTTTTGCAGAGCCTGCTTACGCAAAGCCATCAAATACAGCTCGAACAATGGTTGCCCGCTGTGCCGCACTGTAATAGCTTATTACACTGTAAGTAAAGAGTTTTATAGAGAAGCTACACGCAGATCCTCTCCATTCTAACCAACGCTCTTCTTATATCAGCGCAAATAAAGGGTCTTCCATGTTGCATTCTCACACTAAGTACATACATATAGACACACTTAGACCAATTAGTAACAAGAACACTTGGCAAGCGACTCGCAACAAATTCGCAACAAATATAATCAGACTCACACTAAGTTCACACTACAATCCCGCACTTCTGCGGCTCCTTTGGTTGACAGCCGCACCCGACCCACGGACCCGCGGTCATGAGGCTCCTCGTGGATCTCCGACTCGCCAACGAAGAGAAGTGCTCAAGGAACAGGAAGCAAGCAATAAAATATCTTTAACATTTCAACAGTTGTCCTGTTTATCCATTAAATGAAAACATTGTTAATAAAAAGGGCATTTTCTCTGCATTTTCTCTACAGATTTCATTCACAGCACTTAGACGTACACTATTTTACTCAGAGAATCGTTCTTTTATCAAAGATATAACCGACACAGTAAATGGATCTACCATTGAACTACAAAAATATTAATTGGAGTTCCAGGACCTCTTGGCATTGTGACTTTGACCGAAATATTCTTAGAGATCGGTTGATAAAGCTTTTTTAGCACAAGCCCACCTAGAACTTAGATTTATACGATCGCTTTTTACATAGTACGGTTGGAAATACATATGTATATATTCCACATGTTATTTATTATTTCCACTTCACTCCACTTTATCTATTTATTTATTTATTTAATGCTTTATCCTAATGCTACAAGTATAAACTTATTTGTATTGCGCTAGTCACTCGGTGAGTATATATAGTTCATTTTGGATGTTATCTACTTAAATCTAATACTTACACATTAACATTTTGTTTTGATTTAATTTTTTTTTATTTTTATACCCGTACTCAAAAAGAGTTAAGGGGTATATTGTATTTGTAGTAAAAGTGGATGTGGGCAACTCAGAGAAGGAAACGTTTCCGACCCCATAAAGTATATATAATTTTTATCGTTAGCCGAGTCGTTATAGCCATGTCCGTCCGTCCGTCCGTCTTGATGAGCTAGAGCAACCAATTTTTTTTTCCAGACTCATGTGATATCACACTGCCTAAAGTGTATTTCAAAATTTCGACCCGCGAGAGCGAGAACTATAGAAGTTCAATTAAATATATTCTGTCAGTAAATGTGAGTACATAAGTTCAATTATAAATATAGCTGTAATTACTCCTAAATGTTTCTATGTATTCTGAATAATTAAATGTTAATAACTATTACAACTGTTGTGACTAGCGCCCTAATTTATGGAAAATACAATACAAAAAATTGCTCAAGACATCCGTTTCAATCTGTTTGAACAGTTGCTCCATGGAGGCACCTACGAGTAGGCAGAGGGTGTAGTCCATTTCCGATTCCCTACCCCACTAATTTACTTAAAATGATGAGGCTGGCTTTGCAAAAAGCCGACTATATAGAGTAGCAGGGATGGGCGCGATGTAGCATCGGGTGTGTTAAGGTTAGGGTTAGGGTTTGGGTTAGACATTTTAAACTTAAAGAATTGGTTTTAATATTTATTTTAGGTTTTTGGGTAAACTGACAATATTGCCAATTTGCTTTTGTATTCAACAGTCAAACCCAGGTCCTTAGAAACAAACAAAAAATTATTATTGCGATAGAGAGCAAACAAGTAACAACTAAAAACTCACACTCGTCGAAAAATAAATTTAAATTGAACTAATTTTTCTAAAAGTTTTATTTGATATCCATTACTATAGAATGGAAACCCCAAAATCAAACGTCTATGAATCGGTGCTACCGCATATCATTGCGATATTGAATTGCGAGCCACGTCAGAGTGAGTAACCTAAGGGCCAAGTGTGTGGGTGCGAATCACTAATTGATTTCTCCTCTTGCTCGCAGGCACCACTGTGGACGATTTATGCCACAAAATTGAGGTCACTGCCCAGACGGATGATTTTGTGATGCAGCACATCAGTGCCTTTGAGACCCTTAAGACCGCTGTGAACTATGGCATAGCGTTGGGCACTGACATGGGCCTACTGGCCCACTCAAATGGCAAGGTCCGCCTTGTCAGCAAGCTGCCCATACGCAGCCTTTCGAGCGAGCAGCCTCAACGCGGCGTAGAGGGCGAATACACTGATCTTCGCCGCAGCGTCGAGAAGGTGGAGCAGCCGCTGTTGAAGGAAGTCGACGAGGAGCTCTTGTTCAGCGACGAGAATGGCCGCCAGCCTTACAGCGTCGATGAGCCCCTCATCCCTGGCATGGTACTACGCTCGTCAAAGAAGTTAGGGACAGGAAAGGTGGACACTCGATCAACCCCACATACCATTGACGGACCAGCTGACGGAACCACTAACGGGCAAACTCAGCAGGAGAACTCCAATGGTGACACCCAAAACGACACAGTGGGGGCTGACTTAGCTCCAAATTAAATTTTGTTCGCTATATTCGATATAATTTACAATCAAAGCATTAATAATGCTACACTCTTTGGCATTTGCCACAAATACCTGTCACACCTTTTTGCTCTCTGATCTTCTGAGTATTGTTTAATAAAGGATTTGATCTGTACTTGCCAGAGTTTAATGCATTTGAATACGAGCATTGTCTTTGGTGTGAGACCTCGGAAAGGGCTCACATTTGGTGGCTGATTCGCTCTGATCCACTCGACTAAGCAGATAAGCAGAAGAAGGCTGGAAGTGGGCCAGCGGGTGAGAAGAGGCTAATAGGAGCCGCGGAAATACTTCGAATATATCCTTTTCAGAATTGGCTTGCCCTCGTAGGAAATATGCAAAATGTCATTAAACAGGGCGAAGAGATCCAGGATATGCCCACAATCATTCCAAATCTCACTGCTTCCTTGAGGTCACTGAACGAGTGAATGTGGCGCAACATTCTCAAATAAATCAGTCGGAAAAACATATGGAATTCCTAGATCGCTATACATAACGAAAGACTTTTTACCACTGAAAATCAAACAAACAATTGCAACAATGTACCTCATACCCGTACTTTTTTATGGTATCGAAGTCTTTAGTGACTGTAACTCCGCCAGCCAACGAAAGCTGAAAGTTGCTTTTAATAATATCACGGGATATATTAATAATAAACATAGAACTGACCGTATTTCTGACGTAATGATTAAGATACTCAATATTCCACCTAAATCCTGGAAAAACCATAGGGTCTTAACATAATTGCAGAAAATTGTATCCACCAAAGAACCTTGGTACCTATTTGAAAGACTTTGGTTTAGCACGTCAAGAAGATCAGAAACATTATGACATTTAAATACAAGTGTCCTCACAATGCGGAATTCTTTGTATATGCGTCGATTTGGAACCCGCTCCCCACGGCCTTAAGGCCATAAGTGGCTCGAAGCAATTCAAAATCGCAATGGAGGAACATCTGCGCACTGCCTAACTCTAATGATTTAAACTTTTTATACCTGTACTCAAAGAGTTAAGAAGAGGTATATTTTGGGTGGAGTGTGCAACGCAGAGAAGGAAACGTTTCCGACTCCATGTATATACATTCTGGATCAGCATCAATAGCCGAATTGATATGCCAGTCCCGTCTGTCCGTCCCTCCGTCCGTCCGTCTTGATGAGCGCCAAGATCTCTTCGCTACCACACCGAATATCTGTGGCATACACAATATTAAAGATACGATATAACTAAAAACGCAGTATCGTAGAGAATGACCATATTTATTAGAATGCCGAACCTGATGAAGATCGGATCATTATTGTAGCCAGCACAAGACCACGCTACTCATTCTCTTTCTGGCTCGCTCACTGTGCATCGTTCAGTGGGCGAGTGCACGCTAGCGGAGAATATGTAGAATCTAAATGGTACATGTATAAACTGCATGTTAGATGTAGAATATGTAGCAAAAAAATGAAAATTTTACATAAATATTAAGATCAAAACTTTATATACTGACTGAGTACGGGTATAAAAGTAGAGTCGCGTCGCCAGAAGCGACTCACACGTTCCTTCTCGTTTTTGTTTTTATTTTCTACGTTTATTTTTATTATTAATGATAAGTTTATTTATTTTGCTTATTATACCCGTACTCAAAAAAGAGTTAAGGGGTATATTAGATTTGTGGTAGTGGAGTCGCAGAGAGGAAACGTTTCCGACCCCATAGTATTAATCTTGATCAGCATCATAGCCGAGTATATAGCCATGTCCGTCTGTCCGTCCGTCTGTCCGTCTTGATGGCGCCTGGATCTAGAGACTATAAAGGAAACCAAATTTGGTTTCCAGACTCATGTGTATCACACTGCTACGTGTATTTCAATTCGCCCCGCCCCTTCCGCTCACACAAGGACGAAAATCTGTGGCACAGTTTTAAAGATCGTAAATGAGTACGTAGAGATGCCAGTCAACCCCTGCGGAGGAGATGAAAACAACATGTACAATCTACATGTTAGATGTGAATGACATTGTAGATGAGATGTGATACAAATGTAGCATGTAATGTCATTTTTTTTTAATTCTAAAATTTAAAAATCATTCTCAAAATGTATATACTGACTGGTCGGGTTGTGATCGTGTCCCGAAACGACTCACACGTTCCTTCCGTATTTAATGGTTTCCTTAATGTTCTTTTATTTTTATATTGAAATTGAGTTGCACCCCGAATAGATTTAAGGTGATGAGGAAGACTGTTCCATAAGCGGATTGCATTGACAAAGAACTGCCTCTTCGAGCAAAGCGATTGAGTTCGAGGGCATAAATAGTTTTTAGGTGTAGGGTTAAATATTTGCAGTAAAGGTAATCGGTTCTTGGGTGTACACAATTTTATGAAGTTCTAAAGTCTACCCAAGTGGTCAAGTTAAGGGCAAGTATTTTATTAGTCAGTGTCGTGGCACCCCTGTATATCATATTTTGATAGGAGAGCATGACTTTATATTTCTAGTTTGGACAGTTGTTTATGAAGCACAGTAGACCAGGCTCTGTTAATCTACATCCAGTGTTGTCGGAGAATGGAATTCTATTTTTATATTAGTACTATTACAAAATGAGTTCACAAGCAGGAAATCACGATCACAATCTTGACGGAAAATATGACAAATCGACACGGCAGATCGGACAAAAGATGAAAATTGAAAAACCACAACAAGTGGGAAGCACATTAAAGCAGCAGGATCACAATGAAACTTTCATCGATTTAAAGACAAAACAAGGCTGGCAAAGAAAATACAATGAACCAACTGGTTATTGGATTGGAGGAGCTATAGGTGCAAAGGCGGCGTCCGAGATCAGCACTGTACGAGGAGAAAATGTCAAATCTGGATTGGACCGTAAGGGAGTAAGTGTCGTAGAAAAGCGAAATGGTATCGGTGCCCGCTCTTTGGGTTCACTACAACAAGCGGCACAAGAGATGGAGCCCTGCCCCAAGCCGGGTGCTCCGCTTATGGGAGGATGGACTCGCCTCGGATCGGATGTTCTAAAGCAAAGCCCACCATCGCCCCAACAGGGCGAAGAGCAAAAGCACTGCAGCACCGAAAAGTTGTTCGTCCGGCAGCAAAAGCTCCCTACTAATACCCGTACCAAAATTCCTCCTAAAGCCAAGATCCAAAGTATTACCGATAACCTGGGTACTCCAATTAAGGTAGGATGGGCTCGACTTGGATCGGATGTTGTGAAGCAAGGCTTCCAACAGCTTCAGCAGGGCGAAGTGCAAGATCAGCAACAAGGTCATGCTAATACTCATTCGATAATCCCTCCCAACGACAAGGCGCGTTGTGAGTGCAACCAATTTTCCGGGCCGCTGACAAGCAGCGACAAGAAAAATTTGTTGACCCCAACAAAGCCCCCAGTCTGGGTCACACAGCGCGCTGGCCGTCAAAAACATCTCAAGAGCATTGAGTTCAACTTTTTCGATGGCGTTCAAAGCCCACATGACGACACTCTCTGCGGGCTCGATTGCCCCAAGGTCGATGATGAAATCCAGTTTCCAAATCTACACTAAGGTTCTTCCTCGCCCACCTAACTCTGTGAAGCGATGACAAAATTCAAAATATATGCTGCCAAAAATAAAAAATTATGCAAGTGACCGAATGCCAAAGGGTCCGTCTACACATCTGCACGGGTATTAAGAGCCTTGCCCTCTAATCTTCCATTACTTCCTATTTCCAATGAACTTCTTTTATTCACATGTACCCATATATTTATCAATTAAACGACTTCTGTTCCCATTTATCATCACAAGATCTTGGATAAGTGATGTTCCTTTTCAGTTTTTCCATTTCGTGTGCTTTTTGTTTTGGGAACCCCGCCTTAAAGCTTTTTCATATTGCTTGGCCATCAATTGCAGCGATGGGGAAGAGCGCGAGTTTTCTAGCTGTGTTTTATTTTTTTACCTCCTCTCTTTCTGTACACCTTTTTGTTTTGCCTGTTTTTGCCTGCAATGTATATTAAATTGAACAACTTCTGGATCTCATAGTGGGATGGACTGAGAGGGTGTAAAAGAAGCGGAAAAAGTACGTCTGAAAACTTTTCTGTGTGACCTGCCTTCCGTTTCCATCTCTCTGTCTGTTGCTTTAATTACCGCTAGTAACACACGTTACCTGTCAAGTCCAGAAAGAGACTGCGCTTTAGAAAGGCAGTGAAAGGCAGTGCAAAGGCAAAATGTTCCGGGGATTGCAAATTAAATGAAATTCTAGAAAGTTTTCCAGTATGAACCTTTCGGAATGGGGGAAGACTGCTCCCCCAAGTATCTATGCCTTGAACTGGAAACAAGTCGGCTAAGTTTCTATTGATTATGACTATGTAGCACCCACCACTGGCACCTTGATTAGGCTGAATCAGAAGCAAACTGTATCTAAAAACCAAAAGCAACCAATTAGGGAGAGGTAGGACTCGGAATTTTGTTGACATGATGAATGTATCAAGAGAGGGGGGTCGGAAAATACAGTTTCAGCTTGTTAAAATTGATTGCCCGGGCCCAGAGCGAAGAGCCAGACGAACAACTACTTAGGCATGTCACCTTTTACTGGTCTGGGCTCTGGAATCAACATTGATTTATATTTGCATTGACACTTCGGCCAACTGACCCCCCAGACAACCCCAACCCAGACCACACACAACTCGATCCGTTTGACTGTCGCACAAATTTGTCCTTGTCATTGTTTTACAAGATGTCCTCCTCCGACCCACACAGAACCATTCAGCACAACCCAAAAAGGGGTAGAGAAAAGGCAGCTGCGGAAAGAGAAAGATAAAAACAGAGAGCTTTCGAAAAGAAACGAATTTGGAGGAGCTCCAGGTGCAAACCTCAGACACTTCGTATATATACGAAGAAAAAAGCCCTGAAATTATAATATTTTCACTTAGATTTTAATATTTATGCCATTGATTTTCATCCAAGAGTGTTTGTATTAAAATTTAATATTTTTCACTTAAATTTTGATATTAAAATAAAAATATTTTAATTTAATATATTTTATATTTAAGTTGAATATATTTCATATTTAAGTTTAATATGTTTCATATTTAAATTTAATATATTTCATATTTAAATTTAATATGTTTAATATTTAAATCTAATATGTTTCATATTT